AGTCCCATACTGGATATAAGTGACCTAACTATTAACCAACTTGCTTTATTACTTACTTACATACGCCTGTTACCAGCATACTCCAACCCACTTTTTCCTGAGGCTTCCTTCCCAGTTCTATCCAATTCTTGTTCATTCTTCTCGTGTCTGTCTCCATTTCTCGGCTTAATGTGCTCTTTGATCTTTCTCTTCTCCTTTGTCCTTGACGATTTCAAGTGGGGGTTTGCCTTGGATGCTTTCCTCAGTATGTGTCCTATCCACTTCCAGCGCTTCTTCCTGATTTCTTCCCCAACTGGAATCTAATTTGTTCTCTCACACATTAGGTTGTTGCTGATAGTGTCTGGTTGATTGGTTCGAACTCCGTCTGGGGCCCCTATTGGGCTACTCCCAGTCCAAAGCCTGGGTAAAAGGAGGAGGGCTGGGAATGGGGTTAGTGACCCCATCCCATAGAAAGCTAACTCGCTAAAAAAACGCTAGTCAGAAAAAATAATTCAACTACTAACCAAACTAGCGAGAAAATGAGCTATCATGCAAATACTTCTTTGTGATTACAACCTGATCATATGTGGTTGAATACAACCCATCCAATAAATCTGTTTTTTCTTCTAACACTATGATATGTTTATACCCAATTATATTACACAAGAACATGATGAAGTTGTCTGTTAGATTAGAAAAAAGAACATATTATTAAGTCCCAAAAAGAAGACATCACTTCTCTCAAATTTCACAAAACAAATAACCCAGTTTAATCTGTCTGGTTTACAAAATAGAATCGACATATTTTTCCCGTTAAATTCTAAACAGTTTGTTGTTGTGAAAGATGTAAATAATTAGTCAAGTATTCTTATTTTAATAGTTGAGATTATGAGCTAAACCATTATGGAAAACCTGGAAGCACTGGACGGTCGTTTCGTCATATTATGGGATTTCTCAACAGTGCGCACCCACGATTCCGCTTCACGAGACTCGAACCAGGACCTATCGTTCTCGAGCGCGAATGCCTAATCTCTAGACCACTGAGCTGACCGGCATCGAACGGTGTTAATGCCTAACTTCAACTAATCCACGAAATTGAGTGATACATCTAACATTGTCTTTGATGAGTTACTATCTCACAACAGACTCGGTTGAACTCCACTGGTCACTGCTAATCATCAGAACTCCAGGAAATACCTCTTGGAGACAGCACCAGTGAGCATATGTTGATTAGTATCATAAGAGGCTTATCTCCAATTGATTCATGATCTCAACTATTAAAATTACTATAATATCCACAAAACCCCTTTTGGTACAAGTCAAGTATTTATTCAGTTTGTACATCAATATTAACCCATTATCAGCTCCTCTGATATAATCATTAAAAAGTATACTCATATTTTAAAGTTTAGTGATAGAAAACACCAACTGGATTATTGTTGAAATTGGTGTATATTCTTGACTTACTATCTAATTGAAATAATAACTCATCATCATCAAGGTAAATGTTTCGATCTATCCAAGGTTAAGTATAAAACTTGCAAATTGAAAGGTAATTGTTATAACGCTAGGATTTTCTTTGTCTTTACACTAATGGGACGTTTATTTACCTTAGACGAATATCTACATTAGATTCCATCCCAGTGTCTATTATACATGACTTCAACACAACTCAGATGATCAAGAACACGTGATTAACCTGACTAGAACGTAAATATATTTCAACACCAAAAACTGACAACAATCCGACACAATTCAACAACGATCAATAATAATAAGGATAGGAGAATATATGAACTCATCTAGTACCTGCCAGACTATCTAAAAGTATAAATGCACTTGGTATTATTTACTTGAATCTTCCTATTGATGTTTAGGACTTCAGTTGATCATTCTCTTATTGGCATATGTTCATCATGTGCGGATTGCCTCGATATTGCCTTGATTTACATGCATTATAAAGAAATATGGAAAGTGGCTGCCAGTGAAATTCCGGATGCGCGTCCCATGTTATTTCGAACTCGGCAAATGGATGTACCTACAACTCACAATTGATGTCCACTCTGGGACTCGAGCCCAGTACCATTCGCTCCTAACGCCATCACGTTTTTCACTTAGCTTTGGAGTTTTGGTGGTTAACTGTTTGTACAATTGGTTGAAGTTTAAATTCGCTTGGTATTGTTTAGGACTGCAATCGATCAGTCTCTTATTGTCGTATGTGACGCAGATACATCCGTCTGACGAATCCCAAATAGGACGTGATGCACATCCTGGATCCCAATACTAGCCACTATCCATTTTTGCATAGAACACCTAAAAGTCTGACTAAGTAAACAACCAATCATTATCATTCTCGCCCACACATCAGTACTCATTTTGCTTTCATGTCCTTCAGGAGAAGGAAGTTACGCAATTATTTTACATGGTACAACCATACTTTACTGATGGCATTGAGCTGTTTTAAGAGTGACTTCCAGATTCATCAATCAGTTGTTAGTCAATGCAGCTTCTCTGAAGGATTTATTTCTATATTGCTGAACAATGGTAAGTCTCGTTAGATTGAGCTGGAAATCATAGTACAATAACTCTGACACTCCTAACCCTTACATTCTAATTCTAATACTTAATTCTACAGGGAAATAATTATCTGATACATCCAAAGTCCGAAATCTAGTGAAAAACATGATTTCTAGCATCGAGCTGTTTATAATGGTGTCACACCGTTACGCAACATTTGCTACCATGATTTCAAACGGTCGTTCAACGACTTCACTAGAATATGATTGTACCCCTGATATCTATCATTTTAGAGTTCGCTCTTAGTTAAATAATAGTAAGTCTATACTCATTAAATCACTCACAGTTTATTTAAAAAAATGGTGATATGGATTTGAGACCCAGGAGTATAACATCTCTTAACTCAAGATTTCGAATGGTTTTTGTAAACGATTACGCCCAACCGACTAACATCTTGATATAGTGTTCATGATGTAAATTCACCCAAAACAGTAGTCAGAGTGCAGCTTCATCGATAGAATTCGAACCAACGAGTAGATAAGTAGGATCTTGGTCAGTACTCAGTAACCAATCAGTTGTGTATATCCCAGTCTTACTAGAAATCAATCGGGTTCTGAGTAGCTTAATAGTAATGTCTCAGATTGTAAAGCTCGATAATCAGCTTTCAAATCTTGTTAAGACCTTTAATTTTTTTAATACTAGGGATAGGTCTTGCATATAATGTAGTTCAGGTTGGGTCTCTTATCAAATACTTCCAACTAACTTAACATCTAATTCCCAAATAACTCGAAATCTTGGCCGAGTAAAATTTCATACTATCTGCTAATCGCTTAATATGGAACAAATTATACCATGATATCAAGTCCACTTACTCTAAAGTGCCATAACGAAACGTGGTCGATAAAATTCTATCTTTAGCACTATAAGACATAAACAGAATGATCTCGGTTACCATTAGTTGACCATAATTAACTAAAGTTGTCTTTTTAGAATGCCCTGCTACGGTTGAGAGTGAAGAGAATCAACTCTCCATCTCCAAATGGTTTCACATAACTACGTGCATACCACTACTGATAGGGAAGTCCTACTCACTGCCTTCTCATACCACTGGTGTTGTTTACAAAATTGAGAGGACGAAAAGCGAATGTCCGGCAGGGGCTTAAACTGGGTTGGTAGACACGGAGAATTCATCTAGGGGAGTTAGAAAACCCTCATGATTAACCAATGGTGCACATCAGCTCCAGGATCCTGAAGGAACAACTGGTGTATGAACCAATCGGTGGTCACTGCTACCATGTGAGTGCATCTCCTTTGGTTGCTCCACTGCTTTATGGATCAGACCTATAGGTCAAAGGCTTGGGGTGTGGCTCCCTAAGAAGACCACCTGCTTCGGTTTGAACATTCGGGCAGTATCCCAGCCCTCACATAAACCGAATGATTTATGTAGCGCATATCTATTTGGTGCCTCCTTCTACCAATGTTTATGTGTTTAAATAAATAAAATCTATGTATTTAATGAAAGGAATCGCCGGGTGATTATGAACAGCAATATTATTATTATTATTATTATTATTATTATTATTATTATTATTATTATTATTATTATTATCGATTAGATTGTTGGATCTGATACAGTTATTCCTTTTAATGAAAAGGGATAGGCTGACTAATAATGCCAATATATGACCATGGTTCTAAAATTCATTTGAAGTGCAAATGCCAATGAATATTAACTATCTTGTTTAATACAATAAGAGAATAAAGTGTTGTATGTGTATGTATGTGTATAAAAGCCGGTAAAAAAAACAAGTTGGCGTTTGTTGATAACTAACTAACTAACTAACTACCTATCCGTATTGTCTCATCAAGGTATCATCAATTCAGACCAACTACATATTATTATTATTATTACTAGCAAATGAATATAGAATTGTGTATCATTCACATAAACTTTATTTAGGATTGGTTACTTATGGCACAAGGTCATTGTAACTAACTATGTACACATAACTGTTACTCTATCTATTGCTTAAAGTAACCATTACCTGGGTTATTGTGTGGGTGTTATAACTATTGGGACACATGTTCTGACTAATAACATTAATATGGGATCTATTGATGTTTTTTTTTTTTGATTGTGTAAACAAGTATATATACGTGTTGTGTGTGCAGGTTGTTGTTGTTGTACCATAGAAACAAACGAAAGATTTAGAATACAGAAATAGCCAAGATAACAAAAAGTAGTGTGCGTATGTGTGTGTGTGTGCGAGAGAGAGAGAGAAAGAGAACAACTACTGTGCGTTTGTGTAACAATATATGGGCATGACAACACACCATTATGATAGTAGTAATAACCTGTAACTATTACATTTAAATGGTAACACACAATACAAATTACAAGTTAATAGCTACCTTTTTTTCTAGTGAGATTGCCAACACTCAATTACATATTTATCTCTCTCTCTCTCTCAATATATATATAAAGAAGAGTGTAAAAGAAAAGCCACACATTTATAGAACAGTAACTTTTCATTAGTAATATATTAAAAAAGAAATAAATAAATCTATTTACTCTCTATAGTTGGATTATAATATCAATTCATCTAGGTAAAGTTATAAAACGGGAAAACAAAAATTAAACCGTGGAAACAAGGATTACGTAATCAAAGAAAAAGAACATTGAACCATTTCAATATACTCACTTATCTTCTTTCTCTCTCTCTCTCTGGGTGTATGTGTTTGTGTGTGCGTCTATGTTGATATAGAAACATAATTGTGTGGTTGATTTCATTTAAAATAAAATAATTAATCAACTAATAAACTGAACAAATGAATTCTTTCATTAAAGTTTTATATTCATTTTCATTATGGAATTATATAATACCATTATTAGTAATATTGAACATCTCAGAAAATAATGCAACATGTAAGTCATTGATAGTATGTTTTATTATTGTTATTATTATTATTATTAACACTGTTGGATGCCGGCTCAGCGGTCTAGTTGGTTAAGCACCTGGGTTCGAATCTCGTGGGGTGCGGGATCGTGGGTGCGCACTGACGCTGAGGAGTCCCATACTAGGACGAAACAGCCGTCCAGTGCTTCCAGATTTCCTATGGTGGTCTAGCTTCAATTAACTCGTGATCTCAACTGTTTATATTATTATTATTATTATTATTATTATTATTATTATTATTATTATTATTTGTCATTGAATTAAGAAGAAAGGGGTGTTACATCTAATATGTTTGATTATTTTTGTATTTATGAGATGGATGAGTAGTGGTTACTTACTTACGCTTATTATTCCTCCTGGAAGAGCATAGGCTGCCTACTAGTATCCTCTATCCAACCCTGTATTGAGCAACCCTTTCCAATTGTTATTCATTCTTTTCATATCTGCTTCCAATTCTTGACGTAGTATGTTTTTTGACCTTCCTCTTTTCTGTTTTCCTACAAGATTCCATGTTAGGTCTTATTTCGTGATGCAGTTTGATGATTTCTGTAATATATGTCCCACCATCACCTCTTATCTCTTTTCCTAATTTCCTCTTCAGATGGAAGTTAGTTTAACTTCTCCTACAGTAGGCTGTTCCTGATGGTATCCGATTATCGGATATTGATGAGTATTAGTTAGTGGCTGCTAAATGATTTTCATTAGGAAAAAACACACTATTTTTAAGCATTTAGAGTTGCTCTCAATTGTTTACTGTAAACAACCCAATGTAGTGCAGTTTGACATGAAGGATGAAAAGCATAATTGTTGTGAAAATTAGGCCTTAAAATGAAATCCTCAATTAAAATTACGCTCCGTTTATTCATTAAATGAACAGAAACATAACTGAAAATACTGGAAATGTAATGAATTTATTGAATATTGGAAAAGTTACAGTTGACCTCAGCCTTGTTTGCTTATGTTATTATGTTGACCAGATATTAACTTAATTGTAATCGTGGATGCACACTGCCACTGAGGAGTCCCTAAATAAGACGAAACAGATGTCCAGTGATTCTAGGTTTTTCATGGTGGTCTAGCTTCAACTGTCTCATGATTTCGACGCCGAGACTAATTTATGGACGAACCAATCAGCTATATGATAACAGGTCTTGGATTTTGGCGCGAAATTTACTCATCCATTTGGCTAAATAGAATTTTGGCATTATAGCTTATGTCACTTTGTGATGAAAACCCTAAATCTAATTTCTAAGCATAATCATCAACTGTAAATCATAATCATAATCCTCATTCAGTCCTAGCTATTAAGTGAACATTCTCAGGATCAGCTTGACGTCGCTCAAAGGTCATCCATAAATTATAGTTTCACCCGTTCAAGTATTGTACAAACTACTCAAATCAATTACTAGTAAGATATAACTGACATGAAAAGTAGGTAAGTATATTCATGGAAATTCCTGTAATTGAAATAAAAATAGGTCTATAGTTAAGCTTAGCTTGTTTATTATAGATTCTTCAATGAATTAGAGCATTCAGTTTAGAGTGTTGAATGAAATAGATGACTAGAATTATTTACTTTAAAATGCTCTAATGTTTACACAATCATGATTGAGATCATGAACCGATCAATGTTCACAGAATATGATTTCATGAATTATTGTCAACTATGTATACAAGAATATTGATATCCGGCTATTGTCAAATTAATCGTTAATATTTGAACAATGATTATTGTTTACATTAAGAATCATTTACAGGTAGTTGGAAGTTGATGAACTTTCGAATAAATCTAAGCAAAATGAAAGTTTTCTATTTTTACTCTTCAATTTATTTATTGATTTGAACATATAAATAGGGGGCACCGAATATATATGCGCCACAGAACTCATTTGATTTGTGTGTGGGCTGGGATCCTGACCAGGTGCCCACACCGAAACAAGTGGTTTTCTTGAGGCGATACATCTGAAGCCTTCGACTTAAACGTTTAATCCACAAGACAGTGGAGCAACATCAGGCGATCCTGTCCCATGGTAGTCGGTGACCGACGAGTGGTTCATACAAAAATTGTTCTTTCAGAATCCTGGAGCCGATGTACATCATTGGTTTGGAATGAGTGTTTTCCAAATTCTCTAGATGGATTATTCATATCCACTAACCCGCTTTTCGTCCTCTCAATTTCATAAACAACACCTGTGGTGTGAGAAGACAGTAAGTAGGACTTCCCTGACAGTGGCTATGTGAGAGCATTTCGACAGATGGATAACGGAATCTCTCCACCCTCGACCATACCAGGGCATTTGGAGGCTCTTCAATCAATTCTCACCAATTTCTACATAGTTTTAAGTTCAAATTTATGATCCAAACAGTATAGTCATATTCAAAGAGAAAATATCTTTTAAAAAACTAAAAACAACATTGTAAATTGTTAGCTAGTACAATAAAATCATTACAACATATAAGTAACCATTATAGGGTGAGTCAGAACTTACTTAGTTACTTACTTAAGCCTGCTACCCCTCATCGACGGGCAGAAGTTCTAATCTAATTAAAAAACAGATTAAATGTTTTTAATAGACTGAATACACTGCCATATACAATAAAGTGGATTCGAGGGTACTTGAATTTTTCATGTATTTGAATAAACTAAATTGAAGTAATGAAAATAGATAGAGAAAAGCTTTGTGCATATTAATCAAATAAGGTCATCTTATCATTATAAATAGTCTATTGCCCTAATGGGCTTACTTACTAGAGCTAAATGAGAGTTATATATTAGTATGAGCGATTAGGATTAAGATTTACAGTTGAATGTTCAGGTTTATTGTTTTCATCATGAACTGACATTAATTATAATCCCAAAATGGTATTTATCCTAATGAGTGAATGAATTCCGCGCTAAAATCCAAGACCTGCTACTTTAAATCTGATTGGTTCGTCTATAAATTATAGTCTCGCTATGATATTAATAGAAATGTAAAGAAATATATGCTACAGTTCAGGTACGTCCTAGTTTAATCTCATCAATCGGTAGATTTCTAAGGGTTGTAAATCTCACAAAATAAATCATGATAAACAAGAAAATGCAATCTTTCTAAGCAAAAATGGATATTGGCTAGGAGTGGAATACAGGACGCTCGTCTCCTTCTATTCGGGACTCGTCAGCTGGATATACTCTGCATCTCAGAGTTGATGTTCACTGGGTTCAAGTTCCAGAGTGAACATCAACTCTGAGATGCAAGTACATCCAGCTGATGAGTACCAAATAAGACGAAACGCGCGTCCTGAATTCCACTGCTAGTTTTTATTCATCTTTGCTTAAAAAGCTTGTGACTTAAGGCTATATAAAGTCAATATGCACAGGATGCACATAAGCCAACAAAAGATTGATCAATTACAGTCCTAAACAACAATGGGAAGATACAAGTAAACAACACCAAGTTGATTTTAAAAAAATACAATGAATTAAACTATGAATTCATATCGTCACAATAATGTTTAGACTAAGTCTAATGTAAGAGATAATCAACTGTGGAGCGAGTTTAAATGATCAAGATCAATAGAGGAGAATTGGAAATAACAAAAGTAACAATCATAGGGAACTCCTGATTTTGGAGAATTATAAGTAATGAATGAGTGAAATCAACTATGAGGCCGCCGACTAGCAATCTTCAACCTAATTTATCATGGGCCTGCCTTTCTAGTTTTATCCATTTGTCGTTCATTCTTCCCATGTTTGTCTTCATTTCTCGGCATAATGTGTTCTTTGATCTTCCTCTGATCCTCAAGGTCAAAGGAGAAAAGGAAGATCAAAGAACACATTAGGTCGAGAAATGGAGACAGACATGTGAAGAATGAACAACAATTGAATAGAACTGAAAAAAATAGCTCAGGAAAAAGTGGGTTGGAGAATTCTGGTCGGTGGCCTATACTTCATTTGAGGTAACAGGCGTAAGTAAGTAACTATGAGTGATTTGAAGTCATCTCATCTAAAATCTCTAACCATTGGTCATTTATACTATTAAGACCTTATCTAAGTAGTCTACATTCACCTGTATAGCTTAGATTGATAGTTAATAACAGCATAAATTGACGCTACATTTCAGTTTGATCGGTTCTAACTTTCCTATAATCTAATCCATCATACACTAATCAGAATTATTCGTTGAAGTTTTTGGTGGAGTTTTGTTCTCTAAGCTGGATGGTTTGGTCGTGGAGCTTTCATCGTTCTTCTGAACGACATTATCAGCACAAACTTCAGATAGAAGTCTATCTCCACCAAAATCATCCACCTGAGCTACAAATCTTCTCCACCATCTCAATGTTCGTTGAAGTACAAGGTATTTGAATGCAAACTACTTCATTCTTGTTCATTCATCTTATACATAAGTAAATATTTTCATCACAACTGTTAAAGTCTGATAGTCAGCTTTCTTTTCATTTGTTCTTATTAATATCGATTTAACCATCATCATCATCATCACCACAATTTATTGATTGATAACAAAGGATAGCATAGAAGCATAGAAGCATATCAATAACTATTGGTAGAACTCTTTATCATGAAATAGACCAACTATATGTTTGTTTTATAAATGTACACATATATTATGCAAATGAGATAAAAGCATAACTTTATTACCGTCTAACTTCGAATGAATTTCATACTTGAAACTATCCAATCTAATTGTCAATAGATTGATTTAAGAAAGAATGAAATTTTTCAGATTCAATAAATCTTCAGTGAATTTTACACTTGAAATGAATAAAATCAATCATGATTTCTTACGCCTGTTACTCCCCAATGCATCATTCTCCAACCTATTCTGTTCTGGACCTTCCTTTCTAGTTCTATCCAATTCTTGCTCATTCTTCCTGTGTCTGTCTCTATCTCTTGGTGTAATGTGTTCTTTGGTCTTTCTCTCCTCCTTTGGCCTTGAGGATTTGAAGTGATGAGGGTTTGCCTTGTGCT